GCCTCGTGGGATGAGGGCAATGGAATTAATTAAGAGTGACCTGTGGTTCTCTGGACCAGAGTTTTTGAAACAAGACGAAAGTGAATGGTCACAATATCCTGCTGACCTGGGTATCTCTGAAAGAGACCCAGAATTGAAGGCTGTATCCACGGTTTCAGTTAGAAGGGATTGCAGTGTTAGTTACTTAATGAATCACTTCTCCAGCTGGCCAAAACTAATAAAGGTTGTAGCCTGGATACTGAGATGGAAACACATTGTCAAGTCAAAGGGAAAAGGGGTCGCAGGACCAAACTCAGTGGAGGAATGAAAGGGTGCTGAAATTTCTATAGTGAAGTATATCCAGCAACAGTCATATGCAGCTGAAGTTCAGTCCCTGCGCAATGGTCAGCAAGTTAATTCAAATAGCCCATTGGTAAAATTCGACCCAATTCTAGTAGAAGGTGTTATGAGAGTTGGTGGCAGACTGAGAAATTCACAAATTAATGAAGATGCAAAACATCAGATAATCACAACACTCATTGTTCGCCACTATCATATTTGTACTGGTCATTCTGGTACAAATCACACTCTTAGTGAAATCAGACAAAGGTTTTGGCCCATTGGTGGGCGTGCAACTGCCATAGCAACTTCAAGGAACTGTGTTGATTGCCGGAAAAGACATGCTCGACCACCCAATCAGAAGATGGCCAATTTGCCAATAGATCGAGTTACTCCCGCCTTGCCTCCCTTCACTTGTGTAGGCGCTGATTGCTTTGGACCCTTCTATGTCAAAAATGGAAGGTCCATGTTGAAGAGATATGGTATAATATTCACCTGCCTTACAACTCAAGCTGTGCATCTCGAGGTAGCTTATTCACTGGACACAAACTCATTTTTGAATTGGTTGCGGCGATTTATAACTAGACGTGGTAAGCCACAGCTAATTAGGTCCGACAATGGAGGAAATTTTGTGAAAGGTGAAAAGGAATTGCGATTGGCCATAGAGAACTGGAATCAAGAACAAATTCACCAATACTTGCTACAAAATCAGGTTGAATGGAAGTTCAACCCGCCAACAGCATCACATCAAGGTGGTGTATGGGAACGTTGCATCAGAACTGTGCGCAAGGTGTTGAGTACCTTGACAACTGAACAGACCGTCAATGATGAAGTCCTTCACACACTTTTCTGTGAAGTTGAAATGATAGTCATGGGAGACCTATTAC